CTGTCTGTCTGTCTGTCTGTCTGTCTGTCTGTCTGTCTGTCTGTCTGTCTGTCTGACTGACTCTTACTTTTCTCAGCACTACATGACCGTTATTTCGTCTTTGTGCGTCTCTGTACTCAAGCAAACAAACAAACAATTAATCAATAAGTGTCCAGAAAACTTTTATGAAACTGTTTCCGTCAAACTATTATGTTGGTAAGTCGTAAGATTATTCTGAGCCGTTATCAAGATATTTTTAAAAAATGCACTCGAAAAAAGCTTGGCATGTTGAGAAACAACACATTTTTTTCGTCAAATTTCTCAAAACAAGGTGCTGAGCAGATAGAACTTTGTAATTCTAGGGTTTTCGAAATAGATCTGGAATGCTCTGCCAAGCATTTAGAGAGAGATCAAATTCTACAATTCATTCAAATGTCAGCTAAAGTGTTTTCTGTTCTTTAAATTGATGGAGTGTATATTTAGAGAGATATTTTCTTTTGTTCAGAACACAGTGTATTACGTTACTGTTTTATTGTAAAGAGCTCAGAGCCTGTGTACTTTAGACGGGTTGAGCGTTATATAAATGCCATACATTATATTACATGACTATTACATGTATTCTTAAAGGCCACGGAACTTGCTGTAAGCAAGGGTATTTGCAATAGAAATTTTGTAACATACAATTCATGGGCCAGCTCGAAAAAGAAAAGGAGGGAGACCAACTGCAAGCTATTGTGGCACAATGAGGGATGAGGCAATCACCCAGAGCCTGGATTTGCCAACATATTGGAGGACGTGGCAAGGGAAAGACAAGGGTAGCGGTGGCTGCTCTCCGCCTTATCTACCTGACGGTATAGGGAAAGAGTAAGTAAGTAAATAATTCATGGGCCAGCTTTTCAAATGTACCAAAACAACATGTAAAATGATAAGTATTGTCGTTTCTTAAATTGTTTCATTGGTACATAGTTGAATGCAGGCATAAATTCTAACAAATGTTTACTAAAAGGGCGCAGCAATTCTCAAAGGTGGTTCAAATGTTAAAAGAATAAAACAGTTGTTTGTTTTCGCTCTTCCTGAACAAAAAAATTCTTTTCGGGCTTAGAACATTTTAACAGCTTGCCGATTAATTAATGATATCATGATCTCCTTCTTTGAAATGAAATGGTATGGGTTTAACTCCCCTATTAACACTATTAGGTTATTTAAGAGGCGGGACCTCCTAGTTTAACGTCCGTCTCCGAAAGGACGGAGCCAAAATGGGAAATACGTATAAAGTGTCTTTCCCAAGAACACAACGTCGGACCGTGCTGAGGCTCGAACCCCCAAACCTGCAATCTCACGATTACGAGTCCGGTAGCCTAATCACTAGACCACCGATGCCACATCTCCTTCTTTCTTGTCAGAACTTCGTAAAGTCAAAACCTGTAATCGCCTTTCTTCACGGCCGTATTTTTCTGGGATTAGATTTACGTATAACTCACCTGTTCTTCACCTGTTCAACTTTCCACCAAGAACAAACAATTCTCAAAGCCTTGTCTAGTCTTTGAACTGTGAGTTCAAAAACAAACAAACGGGGTTTGTACTAAACTGATTAAGTTGTGCCGAAATTGACTACTTAAAATACTGCGCTGACGCGGAGAAAGCCTGCCAACAAAACAGCTCCACAGAATGCCTTCATTAATATCTAAGCTCCTACTTACTGCGCTAAGCTTCAGTGACGGTTGAAAGTGTGTCGTTCTAGACGTGGTTCTATTTATAGCACTGATCAGTCTCGATCGATTCGGCAGATCGGCACTGGTACAGTATGTATGCAGTGGCGGTGGGTAGTGAAGGGCTTACGGGCTTGAGCCCCTCACCCCGCCCCCTCTCCGCCCCC